TATCAAGAAGGTCGGAAAAGAGTTACAATCTGGCTCTATTAATATTATTATTATCATTATTGATTTAGCAGATATCCTGATAAATTTCTTTCTTATTGGAATGCCTCCGTACTAGTGATGGGTCAATTGAGCTGTACTTTAATGTTACCAATATATTGAAGCTTCCCGGTGAAAAAGAAATTAAGAGCGTTATAAGAGTAAAAAGGAAAACTGGAATAAAGAAAAACAAGACGACGGCAACGTTCACAGGACGCAGCCCCCGACACAGTCAAGCTTCCACAGCAGGGTTATTGTCGTGACTAGTGAAATAAACTTAAAACTGATTATATAGTTGTTGTTCTTTAAACCCTAACTTTCTTTCAAATTAAACAAAACAAACAAAATCGTGATACTTGCAAGGCAAATGTGAAGGGCAGGTAAGTAAAAGTAACTTTAAGAATTCAGTTAGATATTATTAACCCAACCATTGCTTAAACTATGTTTTATAATACTTCCGACTCCTAGACAGTATACAAACTTGGGAAAGGGCAATGCATATCTTAACCATTGTTTTTACTCCTTATAGCCTGTTTATCATAGCATACTCATTGTTAATAGTTTTGTAAATATTTTGATAAAAAGTTCAGGTTCATTTCCCGACTATTTTGAAAACAGGAGCGACTGGTTTCAAAAACTGTAATGGCTAAATAAAAATATAAATAAGTTAGGAAGAGAACCCTGCTTTTCTTGCTTTATAGCACTAAAACATTTACTTTTCTCTACTTTTGTCTCTTCCTTCTTCCTGTTTTTCATTTTATTTTTGTTTAGTCTTTTTATTTACCACTTGAAAGCCTGAAATTAAATTTTTCATTGATAATTTAGCTGTGGTCCTTTGTTGCTTGGTCGTGTGGGTGTTGCATTCATTGAAGATCAGGAAATACAAAGCTAACATTCAATCTCTGACACAGCGGTTTCTCGACAAACCTAACAACAAGCAGTTCTTAAAACAGCTGAAAACTAGCGATTTAAAAGAAAGAAATATTTTCATTTTGTTATAAGTATCCAACAAATTACAACGCATTCAAAGTTTAAAAGTAGCTTCGGGATATAGAATTGTCAATGAATGCACATTCACAAATTACGCTGATAAATATCATTTTAATTAATGAAAATGCTATTTTAAGCGATGTCGAGAGCGTATTTCACAAATAAATCTGACTGTCGAGTAGTGGAATATATACATGTCGGACTGTTTTGGCGTGAAGATTTTTGTTAAATTATTTACATCAATGTTAAACAACAGGTTTATCTTGAACAAAAAAAAACAACTCGAAATTAATAAGGATTACAAACCCGAAATGCAATGGAAAATCTAAATTTAGTATTACTTGATTTTATTCAGGCATTGTTCGTATATCTGGTGCAAGGGTAACGCGCTCGTTTAGTGTGTCTGGGGTTCAAATCAAATTCAAGGCAATTATTTTTTTATAAAGCTTCTTTGTTAAGGAAATAGCCACGATATGCAAGGATAAAGTGTGGCTGTCATAAAAAAGAACATAAATGATTTTTTGATGAAACTCTAGTCATGCAAAATTCTATATGTATCAAACTCTAGTACCAAGCAAGAAGAATTATAGTACATAAAAATAAACTTATTCAGGTAAATAATACAGTTATACAGTGCGATTTAGATTGCAAAGATCAGAAAATACCACAGAGCTATCAGCCTTTTGATTTATCTTGTTTTTCGTATGTATGTTCTGGAGATTAGGTGGGTGGTTCTCGTAATACTTTAAGATTTATAAGATTGTGTATTAAAATCCTTTGTAAATTGTTTCGGAAATACTGGATATCGTTTTGAAAATTTATAAAGCTACTTATAATTAAGTATTTTAAACACATGAACGAAAAATTTCACAGTAACAGGAATTAAAAATAATTCCCAAGTATTTCGGTTATAGTGATTATACCGTAATCAAATGTTAAAGGTCTCCTAATAAATGTTCTTTGGAATTAAATACTAAGTGTAAGCACTAGAACATAAACCACCAGATTGCTTGCAAAATCTTTATCGGCAGGATAAATTGGTTCACAAAACATGATTTTTCACAGTCATGATCAAATGAACAGTCATTTTCCTCCTGTTACCGAAAAACACACCAGGAAGATTTCAAGTAGAAGACACGTCACTAACACAATGTTCTTCATATTTGAATAGAAAAAGAATTTGCTAAAGCCAATTTATGAAAGAGAAATCGGGGATGCTACTTATTAAATTATTTGCCCATAAAAGAGGATTTATTTTACTCGTTTAGATTATTTTCAAAAACAAAAGTCTCAAAAAGCAAAGGTTAGCTGATATTAAGATGTAAACCGCGACATATAAAATTAATTTACCTGTGAAACTGGAGTGAAAATGTGTTAGTTTATCCGGTTTTTTCTTCAGTGCCTTCAGCACTTTGATCTTATCTGTAGTACAAGTAAACTATATCGTTTTCACCGAAAAATCATTAAATTCTAAACAAGTTTCTAATAGAATCATAAACATTTATTGTATCATAGTTTGAAGACTTTTCTGTTTAAAACATGTCAGAGCTTAATCGAATTCATATACATGCACAGTGCGTAACTGGAGTGCAGGTACAATGTAATAGTTTCTAACACTCCAGAACAAGCCCATTGATGTACTCATTTTTTTTTTTTTTTTTTTTGGGGGGGGGGGGTGCTTTTTGTGGAATAACGATAGAAATGCCACATTCAGAAGCTGGTTCATAGGTTTTTTTTTCTGGGGTTTCATATTGTTACAACAGGGAACGTGGATTTAATTTTGCCTATGCTATGAATGTGATGTAATTGTGTGTGGAACGTGTATGTACGATCCTATCAAGATAGCCTACGAAACGTCACTCATTACATACACAGATGCCCGTTTGTGCAAGGCCGTCGTCGATGGTCCGGCCGGTCCGGCCTTGGCCGGACCAATATTTTGGCCAAAAATGAGTAAAAAAAACCACAAAAAAACACGCATCGCTGATAAGCAATTTGACACTTGACTGGCCCCTTATGTAATGCGCGGTAATATACAAACTTGACGTGAAGAAACAACTGGTCACTGTTAATTGACCAGGTATATGTAGGAGTCCTACGAAGTCAAGTGTTAAGTTCTTAATCTTAATTGGCATTAATTGACATCGACGTGGCTTCGGACAGTATATATATATATATATTATGTTTATTTAAAATATAACATGACAATTCTCAAAAAATCACTTCAGTTCACATACAAGTATCTTAATATGAGTAGCTAAAAAAATTAAGATAGCAAACTATCATTATGTGTGACACAATTCCATCGGAACCAAATCAACCAATATCATTTTCGTTTCCAAAACGAACATTTGTGAGTACATTTTTTTATCAATTTTATATATATTATGATATAACAAAAAAAAACAGTGCATCAGATTTGCAATATGCATTATGAAAATCTTAAACTAGTATGCCTTAATTCTCCGAGAACTTGATAACATTTTATTGATTGTATACGGCAACCGTGTTCTAGCCTGCAATCGATCTTGCCATGGCCAGTGTTAAAGAGAGATTTGACCAACCGGGATATCCCGTATTTCAGAACGTGGAGGATTTACGTACTAAGGTCGCACAACCTTTGAAGACCGAGTACACTAGAGAACTTGGTTTTGTTTGAAATTCCTATGGTAACGACATTAACCGAGACATCTTAGAGGTGCAGCTAAGGCCTTACCTGCTACGTTCACATTTTGACAAATCAGAAAATAGTACCATTACTCTACCTGACGTTTTGAAATTTGTGTCAGAACAGTCAGTGCTAAAACGAGCACTGTTCTCTGAGGTCGTTGTGTTGTTTAAGATTTTGTTAGAAATTTTGCTCAGAAGAAGAAAGACATACCTGAGATCGACAATGTCTCAAGTACGTTTGAACAATCTAATGGTGTTACATATTCATAAGTACAGAGAAGATTCACTTAACTAACGTGTTATTGCCGATGAGTTCATTACCACCAGAGAACGATGGCGATGTGTTTTTGGAAAATTTACATAAACTGAAACTCTGTGTTGTGTAAGATTATTGTGAACAAAATACAAGTTACTGCTAAACAGAAAGTGGTTATTAGTGACTCGTAATGTACTATTCTTCCATCATGTCATCGATTGTTATTTAAGCCTATACCATTGTGTGATTTATGTTATACAATAATCCACGTAGCTGTAATATTTCTTGTATTTGTTTATTTATAATTATCAGATAAAAATGCATCTACAGAATTATAACATCAGTTATTGTTTATTTTTCATTTGCCAAATATCAATTACATGTACTGTATTCATTTTTATGTACACCTGTCCGTCCGTTATGCGAACCTTAAATTTCACCCTTAAAACTTACGGCGCACTTAAAAATGTAAAAAATCGTTGACATAATATATTACTATAACATGTACTAGCGGCAGGCTGTAAACTGTGCCAAATATACGGGAAAACGCCCCTGAGAGCATCCTAGAATAAAAAAATTTCCGGGGGAGCATGCCCCCGTACCCCCCTAGATTCTGGCTCAAAGCAACAAAGTTGGCCGCACCATTCACAAAATCGTGACGACGGGCCTGTTGTGCCAGAAACAATTTTGCAAAGGGGGCACCTGAGTTCTTACTCCACCAGTAAAACTGAAGAGTCGCCAAAATGACCTACACAGTTTTGTGTGACGTAACCCCCATGCACTCCATCCCAAAAACAAACAATCAAATGAAATGAGACATGTCATTAACTGTATTTGATTTAAATATGTTATAGATAGCGTTAAATACATTTATTAGTGTGATTACACTGTGCTCGTTATAGTATAAATATCACCGATGCATTATGTTTGCCTTAGAATGTTGAAATTGAAACTGAAAAGTCAATGAAAATAATTGTACATCTTTCCGTTTTGTCTAGAAAATGTCCGCTTCGCTGGCGTTTGATTTTCCAAGACAACAAAATTGCTACCTTGATTATCTTTTATACAGTTTTTCTTCGTTTTCTTCAAGTTATATAAACATGATAGGTTAGAGTGTTGAGAAAAAATCAATATACTTTTTTACCCCGTTTACTCTGTTGTTCCAAAAATGTCCGTTGCGTATTTTAGTCATACCCGATGAATTGTGGGTAACTTCTGTACATGTCTGGGAAAACCAACTTTCATTTTTGCATCAAAAGCTGATGTGAAAATGCATTTTCTCGCATAATTGTTGTTAGAGGGTTGGTTAAAGTGTAAGTTATTGTTATTTTAGTTATAATATTGTGATTTGTGAGGAAATTTGTTTACATTTTTTTTGGACACCAAATTACCTGTCAGACCTCAGTGTAGCCCCTGATGTTTAACAGTTTAATAAATAAATTACTTATTTTCAATGACTAAACACATCAAAAAGTATACATTAGATCTAATAAAAATATCAGAATGTGCTAAAATAATTTTTTTGTAATTATATCAATTATAAACTTACCCATCTATTCAACATCTAAATACTTCAATAACATATTTTTCTCTAATTCATATCAATTGATAATACAGCAGTGTGTTTTTCCCCTACTTTGGGAATGGTGCCGGTACCGGACAGATTGGGAAAAAAATCCATAAGTTTGACTCAAATTGGGAATTTTACGTAAGATACAAAACATTCTTTAGGAATTTGTATCTAGGACGACATGAAAATTATGCATAATAAACACTTTAAAAACCATGTATTATTAACTTAAATGATTATTTTTTCTTCTTAACCCATTACTTCATGAGCATTTTGTGAAAAATGGCTGTTTTCATTGAAAAGTCTCCCGTTACAAGTTCAAATTGCTATAATACTATAAAAACTGCTTCAACACTAATCAAACTTGTCACAAATGTTGACTGGACCATTGCCCTTGCAACAACATGCTCAGACTTAAATTTTCTGTTACCATGGCAATGAGGGGACATGTCAAAATTGCCAAAAATCACTATTTTGCGTTGATTTTTTCCATCAAAATTGATTTCAAAGTGCTGCAACTTCTCAATGGATTGAGATAGAGTCAAATGCTTTTCAGCGTTGGTTACACATTACCTTATGATCAATCAGGGGTCATTTATAGCCTCTCACAAGTCCAAAATTTTCTTGGCGATGAGGGGGACTCCGCCCCCTTCAAACCCCCCAAACAGAAGGGGGCACATCTCCCTTCTGGCAACCCCCTGATGTATCTTTTGGTTGGGGGGCCGCGCCGAAAAGAGGTCACTTTTTTTAACAACATTTTTCAAACAAAAACAAGTGTTGGGGGCCTAAATAAGGCATTTTTTCACCATTTGAGACACCAAAAAGGGGGAGGGGGGTGAAAAAGGCGTTTAAAGGCGTGTATATAACGTAATGGGTTAAGGTTGAAAAAAAATTGATAATCATAACAATTGAACATAAATAATGAATGTTAAGGTGTGAAACACTAAAAGTAGTACAAATATCACTCATGTGGTTATACTTGGTTTTAATTGCCTTTCACTTTTCAATGGCATTTTGTTTTTGTTTACTTTTAAATTTGCCCATTTTTGAGGAAATTTTCAGTGTTATTTTGGAAATTTATCAGTCATTAATAATAATTGGGAAATTTGTTGTCTATTTTCTATTGGGAACAGTGCCGTTTTTCGGTATCAGTTATATAAAGAAAAAAAACACTGATACAGTATTAAAATAAGAATAAAATTTATGAGATAAAAATGTAAATTGAATTTTAATTGCTAAATTTCATACTTTTGTATAATCAAGAAAGAGTTCAATACACATCTGCATAACTTTGCTATCAGAAATAACTGAGGTGTTATTAATTCATTACTCAAGAATCAAGGTGTTGATTAGATTAAAATAGCTGTGAAAAGGTGTTGATGAATAAGTAATTTTATTAGTGATTTGGTATTATAATATTGTTTCATATTAACACGGATTTATAAACAGGGATCGGACTCTCCCAGTTAACCCTATATAAATGCTTTAATATCTTGTCGGGCACTTGATAAAGGTACACCGATCGATAATTTACCGGCACTAAGCGCAAATGCCCGTTCGCCTCGGATACCTACTTTACAAAATACCATATAGCTTTTCCATTTATTATCCGATTTTGGAAAGTTAAAGTTTATTTTGAAGAAAAATACTTGTTTAATTCAAATATCTAATTTATTTTTTAAAGATACAGACTATCTGTCCGCAACGACAATTAAAATATTAACTTGACGAAATCTGCAGTAAATTTACATTTTTTATATAAATATTTAAGATTTATTGGGTTATGTAGTCAAATTAATTGACGCACAATTGTTTTATGGGTAATGCATTGCAGGCTATACAATTGGCTCAACATGTGAAGTAAATTTATTCTTTTTTTTTTTAGTACAAAATATTGCTGATATTGTCAATATTGCCATATTCATAGAATATTTAAATTTCCTTCATCATTTCGATGGCTGAACGCAACACTGGTCTTACTTGATTTTTTTTCAAAAATGACTTTTTTGCATTTTTTTGCCTAATTGCATGAAATACATCAGTAAATAAAATATTAGAAATAATTGTGAAATTTTATGGGTTTTATTTACCAATTGGCATTTTTCTCTATCTCAAATGTGAGTATAACTTAAATGCAACAGAGAGCTAACTCAAGTTAAAACTGTGTTGCATTAATCAAATTTACTTATTGGATGATAACACTGTACTAACTCCAGTTAGCACAGTGTTGCTGTTAAATTTCAATACAATAAAAATCAGTATTGTTATATTTGCAGGTATTAAGTTAGGTCTGGCAAATTCTTAAATACTTATTTCTACATTTTACCCATTTTTGTTGCCAAAATTGCAGAATTGTTAATCCAAGGCTCTTAATTAATTTTATTTTGTTTTCAAGGAACAGTTATAAGTTTAAGATTGCTATATTATCTCTACATAGTCATATAAGATTGAAATAAAAAATAATAGCAAATTAACCTTTCAAAAAGATTTATTATAATATTTAAATAATTTAATTCACTGTGGATGATAATTATTTACAAGACAATTTGTGTTGTTTTTTGTTGTTCTTTTTTTTTTAATCCTAGTGATCTATTAATACTGATGAAACAAGATCTCCCACCCTCTAAAAATTTCACGATTTTATAATTATTTTATACAATTTGCTTCTTCTTAAAGGGACTCCTATCTTGGCATCATGGGAGTTGAGATTTATGTTCAATTTGATGAAAGTCTGGACAAATAACTTTGCTTAAACGTTCAGATCTTTTGCTAAGTTTTTTCAGAGCAGTTATTTAAACTATAAAATAATGACCGGATATTGAAAAGCACATTAATGCAGGTTTAAACTCAAATTAGAAACTAATAGAACCATTATAAAATTTTCGACTTCATGTTAAGTATAATTTCTTTGTATCTCTTGTGTATCTTTTTGTTTATGTGGCCCGAGTTGATTCATTTCAGAAATTCAATTAATCTTAAGTTTTTTATGCCTTTGGACCTCAGTGAAGTTTCTTTAAGTATCTGTATGTATAAGGCTTGTAATCATTTGAATTAAATTTTTGGTTTGTTTGGTTTTATGGCACACCAACACAATTGAGGTCATATTTCGCTGAAACAGGAAAGATTTTTTCTTGCAATAATTATCAGATAGGATTATCTACTGTTTACACCGGTGCTAGAAAAACCTGTCTTACATCCCCCATGTAAGACAAGTCATTGTTTTTAAATGATGTCATTCCCAAGCCCCTTTTATGAATGAATTGTGTTCTAAAGATGACATCATTTTGCCATAACAAATGAAGTTGTAAAGTCATTTGCTACTATATGAGAAAAGTGTTAAATGAAAGTATAAGTTATCATAATTTCTTGATATGTAATAAAATTATGTGAGAAACAAAATCAAACATAAAGTGTTGTCACAGACAGGAATATCTAGCTCTCAGGTAACTTGTAGTGGAAACTTGTGTGTCTCTTTACCACCATATAAATTACCCTCAAGTTATATATTACCGCCTATACCGGCAGCCGGTGTAAACTCCTTATAAGCTAACCTCGGATGTTACAAATTTGAAGCAACAGAACTTGGGTACTTGAGGTCTTCCTCCACTGGTAAAGCTGGAGCATTGCCATAAGACCTGAGACTACTGTGTAAGTGCGACATAAAACACAACAAGAAAAGAAATTTTTAAGTGGGGACAGTGCTGGTGATATATAATATTTAGTGGGGCCAATGCTGAAAAAGAGGGTACTCTTGGAGACAATGGTTGTGGAATCATAGATGGGACAATACTGGTGATAGCATAGCAATGCTAATGATATTATAGTTAGTGGGGACATTGCTGGTGATATTATAGTTAGTGGAGACAATTAGGGCTGTGCATTGCCATTTTTTTCAGTCACGATAAATATCACGATACTTGCATTTCCAAACGATGCGATTCACGATATGTATTGCATACTTTAGATAAAATGCGATGCATATTGCGATTCTTATGTTTCGATGCAATACGTATCACAATACAGACTTTCATACTTTATCTATATAACAAACTTGGTCATTTGTTCACAGCATAATTACGAATGTAATATAAAACTATTACAATAACAAAACAATAAACTCTTCAACTTGTTATTATAACTTATTTTCAAGTTTTGATCTTTCAACAATTTACATTACTTATTACTTAAAGGATTTTTACTTTTTACTGAAGGATTAATGGTATTTTTCATTATACCATATAAACTATCAGTGTATTGCGATACTTATCCGCTATATCGATGCATCGGATGGTGAAATATGTATTGCATCCTGATATATTGGAATTTATAAATTCATTACGATGCATACATCGAGGACAGGGCAGATCGCGATGTATTGATGCATCGATGAATCGTTACACCTCTAGAGACAATGCTGGTAGTATGAGTGTTTGTGGGGACAAATTGTTAGTGATATTATAGTTAGTGGGGACATTGCTGGTGATATTAAAGTTAGTGGGGACAGTGTTAGTAATAGTATAGTTAGTGGGGACATTGCTGGTGATATTAAAGTTAGTGGGGACAGTGTTAGTAATAGTATAGTTAGTGGGGACATTGCTGGTGATATTAAAGTTAGTGGGGACAGTGTTAGTAATAGTATAGTTAGTGGGGACATTGCTGGTGATATTATAGTAAGTGGGGACAATGTTAGTGATATTATAGTTAGTGGGGACAGTGCTGGTGATATGAGGGTTAGTGGGGACA